CAGTCTGTCTGGAATGACATGAAGAAACAACAAACAGAGACAGACTCGATCCTGAAGAACTGTGCCAACGTCTCCCAGATGCTTCATGAAACCTACCTGCAAAGCTACAATACTGTTAAAAGTTATAGGCACTTGTGTAAAAATGCTGTAAAATGAGGATGCTGTAAAAAATAATGTATAATAATAATAATAATTACAGTTAATGGCAAATGAATGTTTGGAAATGTAAACTGATATTTCCTACTGACAGCACTCAAACTTTCCTACCTACAGCAAAAGATAGAAATAACTGACTTAAAACCACTTTTCTAGCTGGTGAAATACAGTGTTCTAAATGTTTTGGCCACCACTGTAAAAAAAATGACAAAAACACACAATTTATAAAACTTTAACTGAAATAAAAATGTAAACCGAAAATATAATTGCCACAGTTCTTCTGGATTGAGTCTGTCTCAGTTTGTTCTGTTTCTTCATGTCATTCCAGACAGACTGATGATGATCAGATCAGATCTGTGTGTGGAGCACAAAAATCTCACTGGATTAGTACAATTAATGGCAAAATGAATGTTTGGAAATGTAAACTGATATTTCCTACTGACACACTACAGCAAAAGATAGAAATAACTGACTTAAAACCATTTTTAGCTGCTGACAATATTATTGTTCTAAAAATTTTGGCCACCATATTACATGAGTAGCAGTGCGATATGGCTGTATATTGGCAAGGCTTTGCAGTCTGAGATACAATACTTTGGAACGCTGAGTTGCTTCATTGAAAGTTTATTGCATTACTGTATTAAAAGCTAACCGTAGTATGTAGAGCAGGGGTTTTCAAACCTGTCATGGAGGCCCCCCTGCCCTGCACATTTTGCATGCCTTCCTCATCTAATACATCCGATTCAGCTTATTAGCTCATTAGTAGAGACTGCAAGACCTGAATTGGGTGTGTCTAATAAGGGAGACATGGGCTGCGTATATACTTGGCATTAACATGCAACCTGTATCTGGATGTTGTCCACATACACATTGAAAAGACAAATGTAAGCGCGCTTCTGATCAGAATGTTATCCGATCAGCGTGTCCTGGTCCAGAGGTTGTCGAGGACGCATTGTGATCGGATCTCAGTGTAATGTAAACACAATCCAGCCATCGTCTCTGCATTTGCAGGTCGACATCATGCAAAACCCCACCCCCTCTCTCACAAACTTAAATCTTTATGGAGCAATGTGAGCATTCAAGCTAAGCTTGAAAGTAGCTACAGAAACAAATCAAAATATGAAGGCCTAGCAGACGAAATGCATAAACGTGGTTTCGAGAGAACCTGGCTCTTATTTAAATATTGCATGAGAAAGACAGATCCGATCGGTTATCCAGATAGAGAAGTCAGTTGATGTTGCCAAGTGTAAACGATGTGCTGATTGACTGATGATCCGATCTGCTTCACGGTGATTGCATGTTAATGCCAAGTGTAAACGCAGCCATTCAAAATGTACAGGACAGAGGGGACTCCAGGAAAGGTTTGAAAACCCCTGATGTAGAGTATTTTGAGAGAGAGATGGACTGAGCGAGTGTGATTACCTGCATCTGATACAGCATTCATTCTTCAGCTCAATCTAATTTTCACAGTACAACATTAGTTTGAATGTCTGCTGAGGAAAGCGATATCTTTGTCGTACTATCCTTTAGTCTGTTAATGGTGATTTCCGATGACAGTGCTGCTCAGTGCATTTTTTGGCTGCGTCTTACAAGCTGTTGTTAAAAGTAAAAAATAACTTCCTTATTTACAACAGTGTTTTAGTCTTTCAATATAGAAGTCTTTCCTGCTGACTCACTCATAAAAAACAGTCTCTTGTCGCCATCTAATGGCGGAATAATAAAGTCAGAAAGAGATTTATTATCAAGTATGTTTACCCACAAGGAATTTTACTTGACGACAGGAGCTTCCAGTGCAGAAGTACGGACATAGTGAAAACATACATGATAGTGCAGACATACATAGGAATAACACAATAGAGATGGAATATAACACTTACATAAGAAAAACAGAAAATTAAATAATGCACTATATACAGAAGTAGAAATATAGAGGATAAAACATGTAATTGTTTAAATTAATGTACAGATATGCTATTTACAAGTGTGCAGTTTACACATACAATTTTCTGATTTTATGTATAAATGTGTCAGTTATGATGGACAATGCATAGTTATGAATATTTTAATTGTTCAGGCTGAATATAGCTTGCAGGGATAAAAAACTGTTCTTATGCCTGGCTGTTCTGGTGGTTGGTGCTCTGTAGAGCCGACCAGAGGCCAACAGTTTGAAGAGAGAGTGTGCTGGGGGTGTGGGGTCTGCAGTGATTTTCTTAGCTTTTACCTCACTCTGGAGATGTAAAGATCTTGGAATTGCAGTGCATTCATTCGTATACAGGGAGAAGAGCAGTGGGGAGAGCACATATCCCTGAGGGGCACCAGAGCTGATTGTGAGAGTTTTGGATGTGAGTTTACCCAGCCTCACTAGCTGCTGTCTGTCAGGAAGCTGGTGATCCACTGACAGATGGAGGTGGGTACGGAGAGCTGGGTCAGTTTGGCTGAGAGAAGGTCAGGGATGGTGGTATTGAAGGCTGAACTGAAGTCTACAAAAAAGATCATTGCATAAGTCCCAGGTCTGTCAAGATGTTGCAGAACATAATGCAGTCCCATGTTGACTGCATCATCCACAGACCTGTTTGCTCTGTAACTGAACTGAAGAGGATCCAGCAAGGGTCCAGTGATGCCCCTAAGCTAGGCTAGGACCAGTCCCTCAAGTGACTTCATGACCACAGACATTAGAGCAACAGGTCTGTAATCATTAAGTTCAGTGATTTCGGGTTTTTTTGGGGAGGGGGAGGGGTTGCCGTCGAAGCAGGCTTCAGTAGTCCATCTTTTAACAGTCCTTATAACAGGTTTAGCTGATTTCAGTTTCTGCCTGTAGATCAGTATAAGATGAACCAAACAGTGATCAGAGAGCCCCAAAGCTGCTCGTGGGACAGAGTGATATGCAACCTTTATTGCTGTGTAACAGTGATCCAAAATATGTCTCTGCTGGGACATGTAACGTGCTGTCTGTATTTTGGCAGTTCACAGGAAAGATTTGCTTTGTTAAAATCTCCAAGAATGATTAAAAGAGCGTCTTAGTAACTTTGCTCCATTTCAGTTATTTGTTCAGCCAGCTGTTGAAGCGCTGCGCTCACGCACGTGTCTGGAGGGATGTACACATTTGCGAGAATGAAAGAGGAAAACTCCCATGGCGAGTAAAAAGGTTTACAGTTTATGAAGGGTGTCTCTAAGTTAGAACAGCATATCTTTTTCAGCGTCGTTACATCTGAACACCAACTTTCACTGATGTAGAATCACAATCCACCACCCCTCATTTTCCTCGTTAACTCCACCCTGAACAGCTGGAAGCCCAGCAGATGTTTTAGTGAAGCACAATGCAGCAGAGTTTGAAAAGTCCTTGTTGATGCGATTGAGGAGGAGGTGTTCTTCAGTTTTGTTTAGAAGGGAATGGACATTTGGAAGATTAATTCTTGGGGAGCGCAGTTTGAAAGCCACACTCGTGGAACTTAACCAGCGTTCTCTTTTCTGCGTTTGTACTGCACCTTCGACTAGAATGTCCAACAAAATGTCTGAATAATCAAAATCCGGAAACATATTGTCTGGGATGTGTTGGAGACGAGGGATTCACATGTGATAAATGCAGGGAAATAGTTAGGCTGACAGAGAAGATTTCAGAATTAGAGACACGCATCCAAACTTTAATTGAGGACAGTAAGAATGTGAGGGCTCTAGATACGGCTTTGGATGCGACTAGCTCAGGGAGTCCTGTACATTGTTCGGTTCCGGTAACAGAGCCTCCGCAGCAAGGCAACTGTGAGGCGGCATCGTCACGGGTCAAAACACCGCTCTTCCGTTCCGATCAAAACATTAAACAGGTTCTCCACACTCAGTGACGCACCCACTGAGAAACATGATCAAAGTGCTCTAGTTATTGGAGATTCTATTGTACGGAACGTGAAAATAGAGACACCAGCCACCATAGTCCAATGTTTACCGGGAGCCAAAGCGCCTGACATCTTTAATTTAAAAGTGCTGGCTAATGCTAAACGTAAATACAGTATGATTGTTATTCACGCCGGCGCTAATGATGTTCGACTTCGCCAGTCGGAGATCACTAAAAAATAACATTAAAGAGGTGTGTGAACTTGCAAGCACGATGTCAGACACTGTAATATGCTCTGGTCCCCTCCATGCTTACCGTGGCGATGAGATACATAGCAGACTGTCAATACTCAATGGCTGGATGTCTAAGTGGTGCCCGCAGAATAACATAGGTTTCATAGACAACGAGTTTTTGGGGCAGACCTGACCTGTTGAAAAGAGATGGTCTTCATCCCTCCTGGGGTGGTGCCGCTCTTCTCTCTAGAAATATGGCACATAGTCTTAGAGTTTGCACTTGACTAACTGGGGCCCAGGTCAGGAAGCAGACAGACTGGCTAACCCGACCATCTGCTTGCCGCCTCACGTCACAGAAATCAGTTAATTCTCAGCACATAGAGACTCTTTCACCTAGATATCACACTATAGAGACTGTGTCTATTCCCCGAACTAGAAAATACAAAAAACCGTTTAAACCAATTATGAGCCTCTGAACATCCAAATAAGACAAATGAGATATCTCCGAAAAACGGCAAATCTCCGCTTACAACACTTTTTAAAGCATTCAGATAGGATTAACGTTCAAAAGTTATTAAACATTTAAAAACAATAGTTATTTTTAGCCGCAGGCGGCTGTCTCGGTCTTTGAGGGTTAAGGAAAACCCCAGGTATTTATGCAATACAATGGCTAAATTATCGAAAAATAAAGCATCAACAGGCATTGACATTTCCCAACAGCACAGCAGTAATGACTTTATGAACTACCTTACTTCCAATATCGATACTATCAGAGATAAAATTGTAACCATGCAGCCATCAGCTACAGTATCGCATCAGATAGTGCGCTATAGATCCCCTGAGGAACAATTCCACTCATTCTCTACTATAGAAGAAGAGTTGTATAAACTTGTTAAATCATCCAAACCAACAACATGTATGTTAGACCCTATTCCATCTAAGCTCCTAAAAGAGGTGCTTCCAGAAGTCCCAGATCCTCTTCTGACTATTATTCGTCATTGTCATTAACATATGTCCCCAAAACCTTCAAACTGGCTGTTATCAAGCCTCTCATTAAAAACCACAACTTGACCCCAAAGAACTAGTTAATTACAGACCGATCTCGAATCTCCCTTTTCTGTCAAAGATACTAGAAAGGGTAGTATCCTCACAATTATGTTCCTTCTTAGAGAAAAATTGTATCTGTGAGGGTTTCCAGTCAGGATTTAGACCGTATCATAGTACTGAGACTGCGCTCATTAGAGTTACAAATGACCTGCTCTTATCATCTGATCGTGGTTGTATCTCTCTTTTAGTGCTACTGGATTTTAGCGCTGCGTTCGACACTATCGACCACAACATTCTTTTGAATAGACTAGAAAACTTTGTTGGCATTAGTGGAAGTGCATTGGCATGCATTGGCACAATCGCACTTATCTGACCACCATCAATTCGTAGCAGTGAACAAAGAGGTATCACATCGATCACAAGTGCAGTATGGAGTACCTCAAGGCTCAGTACTAGGGCCTTTTGCCAAACTTTTTTCTCCCTTTTCAGATCTCATATCACATCGGAAAGGCATTTATTTTCAATAAAAAAATAATTTTTAAATAAAGTATCGGTTACGGTAGGTATAGGGAGGGCTTATATTGACCCAATAAGGTGGCATCCATTTAATAATTTGAATTAAAATTATAATTTACACTCAATATGTTATTATTGCATACTGTTTTATAATGTACTACAATACTGAGGTGCAGATAATTGCCACTATTTGCAATAAGTAGTATAAATAGCAGAACATTTTGTAATTTTAAGTGTAAATAGAATCTATAGCTATTTGAACTTAGTGTAAAGCATCTAGCATATTGTTAAAAATACTACTATTTTCACTTAGTGTAAATGGAATCCATTGCTATTTGCACTTAGTGTAAATAGCATATATTGCCAAGAAAATATGCTATTTTCACTTAGTGTAATAGACTACGTTTATTCGTGTGCACTCAGAATAACAACGAAACATTGCGCTTTTGTAAAATAATGAAAGCAAACAGGATGCGCGCTCTGCCGTCTCGGACTCTGTGAAATTGAGTCCACGTCTCTTCGAAACTCCGTGTATGCTTTCCTTATTACAGACATAGATGACGAGTCAGTGTCGCCGACTTCATCTCTTAAACTGAAAACAGAAACAATAAATTATTAAAACTTTAATGCAGTGTACTTGCTGTTTTCCCCTAACACATTCATAATTATTATATTTGCCAGTGCGCTGTGGCAAGCCTTTTTTACGTGCGCTTGAGCTCTTATTAGGCTATGTAGGCAATTAAAGGCTCATTATTATGATTTATATGATTTATTGATAAAAGCGCGACTAATAGTGGACTAATGCTTAAAATGAACGACTACTAGTCGACCAGAAAAATCTTTAGTCGAGGGCAGCCCTAATGCATATTGACTAATTGTTTACGAGAAGCATAAGAGGCTGACAATTAGCTGAATATATAGCCTACTTGTTTAATTAGTGACACTTAGCCTGCATTTTAAAATCTTTATTTGCATATGGCAACATAATATTGCGCTCTACAATTTCTATGAATAAATCTCTGACAGAGACTATCAGCCAATCACTGTGTGCATAGTTAATAAGCATACTGACATCATCCATAGCAACGAGGTCAACCCCGCCCCCTTACTCTAAACTTAAGACTTCGCTCTATTCCTTAGTAAAAGTTTGTCTCAGCAGTTTTGTGAATAGGCTTTAAGAGAAAACTCTTAGCTAAACACGTTTACTGCTATTTAGGAGAATTCTTGGTGGTAAGATAAAATGTTTTGTGAATACGGGCCCTAGTCGTTGTTGGCTGCTGATGGTTTCCAAACTCTTGATTTCTCCATCCCCTTTGTTAGATGCTTAGATGCAAATGTTAACATGAAATGCAGTATATTGTCTCAATTTCATCCTTTCAGGTGAAAAAGCTTCTGAAGGGGTTCATGCTGGAGTGGGTGATTCCAGAGCTACAGAAAGACCACAAAGGGAAGAATGCATTCAACATGGAGCCACTGAATGCTGCTCTCATTTTGCTCTATGTGTGGGGACGGTATAGTCTAGAATTAGACAACAGGACTCTTTCTCATCTCTGCACTGCCCTCTGCCTGCCAAAATTACCTAAGGAAGAGTTCCTGTCTTTCTGGGCTGGCATAACAGAATCATTTTCAATAATAAACACGTGAGTACTGTTATATAATTTACAGTTTATATGTAAATTATAAAAATCTCAAAAGAGTGTTGCAAAGCAAAACAAATACAAAGTTCTGTTGTGAAACTCTAAGGCCCATTCCCATTTCTACCCCTTAGCCCTTCCCCCTACCCCTCTGTTTTGACCTCCGTGAAGTTGGCCCCCCACCCAACGCAAAACGTCGGCAAAATAGTCTCAATCGTTTGTGCTCCGTTTGTGCTGTAAAAATGTTCGTTTGTGCTGCTTTGGTTTTTTAGATATTAAAATAATATTTATAGGTCATTCTGAGGTCACTCAGCCCCCCAACATACTCCAAATTCACCCCCAAATAGTCTCGTTTGTTTGTGCTTCGTTTGTGCAGGTAAAAGTTTCGTTTGTGCGGACAAAAATAGACTGCATGAGCACTGTAAAATCTAATTAGTTGGGCTTACTTAAAAAAAAAAAACATGCAAACCGATTGCCTTGAAAAAACGAAGTAAAGTAAAATAGGAATAGTATGTTGTACTGACAAATGCTTAGTTAGTATAGTTTACTTACACGAGAGTTCTAGTAACTAAAAAAGACCTGTAGGGGGTACTTGATCCTTTCATTTAGGTTTACTCATGACTTAGTATAGCTACTCACTGACTCCCAGAGTGCATTGCGGCATAAATATAAATTATGCAGTTGCTTTGTTTTACAGTTGTTGATTTTATTTGCCAATTTTATTTGGAAGGGGTATAAAATAGAATTGGGATTGGGCCTTCCAGTTTTCTTCCAGTTGTATCCTTCAAATACAGTGTTATTTTTCATAATGTTGTGGAGATGCCTTCACACGACATCAACACCTCCGTGCAGCTGCAGTTGTATTGAACCTATTCAAACCAGAGAATGGACTGTTCGACCACTGATTTCAACAGATTTCCACTAAAAATAGCTATAAGATGTCACCTTATCAGCACAAACTGCATACATTTAATTTGATTTAATTGTTTAAAACAATTTAAATACTATTTGGCCAGTGGAAAAAAAAGAGGTCAACTTTATTGTAAAATATTTATCTGAGAATTATGTTAAACAGTTTTGTTTTTATGGATATTTTGATATATTTATTCTAAAACATATCAAGGATACTGGATGGCTTTTAGCAATAAAAATTAATGTGTATAGCACAAATGGCATTATAGTCCGTATCTCATATTTTCCTAACGTATTGTACGCTTAACTGCATTAAACATGGTGTCACGTGGATGGGAATATGCATGGAATTGATATGCAGATGAGGCGTTGTAAATTCCATATTTTATAAATGAGACCCCAGATCTATTCCGCCAAGACCAAACACATTATCACTGCCATGAATATTACCATGCTAAACTCTGAGTTTTCATGCCAGAACTAAATTAACTTCTCAATGTGACAATTTAGTAAATAGACCAAGGCTATATGATCTTTTTTTCTTCTTCTGATATTTGTAAGCATTTCAAATGAACTGGACACCATATCAGGTGTGCATTCAGGCACGGTCATGTTTGTTTAAGAATTGAAATTCCAAATATTTTAAACACCCATCATACAGTTATTTTGAACACAGGCTATAGTGTATTGTGTATATACAATATATAAGAGAGGTTGTTCCATACACTGCTTTAAACACACACACACACAAACTGATTTACTCTTACTGTGAAACCAAAGTTTTGTGTGATTGTGTTTTTGTCTACTAAAATATTTAGGCTAATGTAATTTTCCATTCACCAGTCACTTTGGCTGGTGGGTACAACGATTAATTTCCAACCCTGGTCACAGTATTTATATATATTACTCAATCATCTAGATACATACCTCGGGTCAGTCAATTATTATATTAATTTAAACTATTATTATCGAACTGTTGTATTCATTTAGTCATATATAAATATATCTTGGTGTAGGCTATATCTTTAGACTTTTATAATTCCTTATCTTCTTGTTGTTATGACCTTGAGATATTCTATGCATCTGTGAGCTGTTTTTGTATGTATCTGATCTCTCTGCTCGTGTGTGTGTAGACATGTTTGTGTTCTAGATGGGTGTGGCCTCTGTTAACCAGCTGGAGATGGTGATTGCTCCTACTATGCACCTTACCTAGATATAAGGACCGCCCCAAACACTCGTCTTCTGCCTTCGAGCCTCGTTGACTTCGTACCGTCGTGTTTCGCGTTCTGATTAACACTCTATCCGTCTCCTATCAAACTGCCGAGTATTGGATAGTCGTGCCTTGTAGGTTCCTCTTAGTGTAGTGATAGCTACTTTACAGAGCTCTCGTTCATTCCTAGTCCTAGCCTAGTCTTGCCCTGTCTGTTTTCTTAGTCTTTCATCCTTGCCTGTTTACCTGGTTTATCCCTCTAGTCTCGCCCCTTTGATTCTGTTTGCCGATAGTTGACCTCCGCTAGCCTTAGGTTTATTCTTGCGTCTTGCCCGCCATATACCTGTCTGCCATTATCTGACCCATGCCTGTTCTATGACCACGTCTCTGTCTTCTGTTAAGAATAAAGCTTGCACATGGATCCGCACGTCTCAAGTCTTGTCAGCCCCGTAACAACTACTCAGAGCCGTAGTTCACTGAGAAGCTACGCAAACAGCTGTCAATATCGCGAACGATTTCTTCAATTTCAGAATCGCGCAATAAAATCGTCTGGAATTTTTTTTTTGTTTGTTTTGGTTTTTTTGCGTAACTTGTCAGTGAACTACGGCTCTGTGTAGTAAACGCTGCTCCATCTGAAAGCACGTGATGATGATTTACTGCTGATTACAGAACCGGCTTTACTAACAAAATGCGCACGACAATCACATTCGATTAATCGTGCAGCCCTAGTTTGTATCTTCGTTGTCGTTTGGTTGTGAAAGAGTGTCCTACCAGAGAGAGATATTCTGAGTGTAGTGAATCTGTTGAGTGTTTGTTATTGTAAGATCAAATTCTGAATCTCCTGTTTATCTGAACATTGCCTGTTTTGACTATGATTTGGATTCTGATTCTGCTTTCCGATCCACCGGTTCACATCTAGAGAGTGAGGAAAGGGTCAATTGCACGAGTCTCACGCTGAATGCGTGAGAGTTGGCAGCCCTGCTTAAGTCCATCTTTTTTGGAGAAGAGGTCTTGATAGTTTTGATTCCCTCTTCAGCTTTAGATTGTCTGACATGGTGGAGGCGCTGATCAACAGGGTGAGAGGAGAGCACACGTCCAATTGGATCATCGTCATTCCACTGCTACACCTTCTCAAAGGCACTTCAGAACCATTTCAGCCAGTGCTTAATCAAGTCAATGCACAATATGAGAAGTGCTGGGTTGGCCTGCAGGGACTCAAATTGGAGTATGTAAAAAATCGAAGGTATGAAATAATCTATGTAATAAACAGTTTCCAAATGTTCTTCTGGGGCCGGTTGCACCAGCTGGACGTGCACCCAGTTGTAAGACTAGGCTGGACGTAAAATGTGCTTTAAGTCGTGTGTAGAAGCTATACCCGTTGCACCATCTCCGCGTAGTGCTACGTCTGAGACTAAATCTTACGCCTAGTCAGAGGTAGGTGTAAAGTGAAAAGTCATGATTTACTCTGACATTATTCGTTTTTAGGATTCATGTCTGTTAGTTAATTATTACTGCAGACGTGAACTGTAATGTTTATGGTCTTTTCGGGCAGGATAAGCGATTAATCGCAAAGCTCGGTGTAGACAGCCTACCACACTGTCGACAGTAATTGAATACAAAATATATTGCTGTACAGCATGTTATAATTATGCAATAAAATATTGCATATGAACTAGGATTATTAAGAGAAACTCAACCATTTGACATCTTGCTTAGAACGACAGTGTAAATGCCTGGAAATATTTCACGTCTTTATCCATTCAGTATTTGTAGCGTGCCCGCCATCTAATAATCGCAATAAGTTTTGTGCTTTGTTACTTTTAATCAGAAATAAATGATCAGCTTTCAAATTCTGTCAATTTTATCACAAACTATAAACGTGTTTTTTCAGCCACAGAAAGACGCCAGTAAAACACAAAATGTCACGCAAAGTCACATTTACCTCAGGAAAGACATTCATTGTACATAAACTTGATGGTCAGCTATAAAAAAAAATAACTTTTCGAGAGAAGCATTGTATTACATTTATTATGTTTACTTAACCTTGATGAAATCTGTCATGGGAATGCAGATGAACTAGGATTATTAAGAGAAACTCAACCATTTGACATCTTGCTTAGAACGACAGTGTAAATGCCTGGAAATATTTCACGTCTTTATCCATTCAGTATTTGTAGCGTGCCCGCCATCTAATAATCGCAATAAGTTTTGTGCTTTGTTACTTTTAATCAGAAATAAATGATCAGCTTTCAAATTCTGTCAATTTTATCACAAACTATAAACGTGTTTTTTCAGCCACAGAAAGACGCCAGTAAAACACAAAATGTCACGCAAAGTCACATTTACCTCAGGAAAGACATTCATTGTACATAAACTTGATGGTCAGCTATAAAAAAAATAACTTTTCGAGAGAAGCATTGTATTACATTTATTATGTTTTACTTAACCTTGATGAAATCTGTCATGGGAATGCAGGGAGACTTCAGATATAAAAACGCGGACTTGTTAGGAAATGTTTACTCAATGAAATCATGGTGCAGTGGCTTCACTTGTTACGATGTCTTGAGCAATTCAGTTCTATAGGCCTATTAGTAGTTAGTTGTAGCCATTGCGGTGTGAACGTCGTCTCAGCTATATCTATAACTGCGGGAGAATGTGTCAGCGTGGATGTGCATTGTCTACGCCGGGTGTAGTTGCACCTGATCATAGTTTCAGTTGGTGCAACAAGTGTAAATGTTTATAGTAAAGCTGGACGTTGCAAAACCCCGCGTAGGGCTTACACCCAGCTTTTTTTTACGTCTAGCTGGTGCAACCGGCCCCTGGGGGTTTCATTTGACATTTTCTTGTAGATATCATCAAACCTTTGAACCCACCTTTTCAGTTTAAAGTAACATGAAAAATGTTTTTTTCTGATTTTTGACTTGTCATTGTTTAATCCCTCTATTTTAGGGCAATGTTGGATCTCATGAAGGCACATGCACACTTGGTGGAGCTGGACAGACTGCTGGCACGGTCTTGGATGTACTTGATGACTTTAGATGAGTTGGTCGAGTGTGACTCCTTCATCCATGCAGAGCTCCTGGACATCCTGCAGCTTTTCACCATGAAATGCCCCAAAGAAATCTCAAACAGCACTTCAACAGTGAGTGTCAAGCTATCAGAAGAAAAAAATCATACATATATTTAAATTGGAACAAATTAAATTACCATGTAATATAACTTAGAAAAATATAGCAGTCTGAAACCGGTATATTTGACTGTTCTGTCATCCCAGAGCGTTTTGAAGATTCTGGAACACATTCAGCTTCACTTGCTTGAACAAAGATACAGGTAAAGTTCTTTTACTAAAATCAAAATAATATTTTGTTTATTTGTTGCTTGCCAAAATATTTTAGCCAAACCGTGACCCCCGTGTGAATGAGTATGCATTATGAAATGATAAGCAATTCAGATGATAGCTGTGTTTTTGACACATAACATGATTAGGTAGACCCAACAAATGAGTCCATGTACGTTCCAATTTTTTTTTTTGTTAACTCACACCCACACCCAATGGAGGAGAATAAAAATAAATAAATAAAAAACATTTACATTTTGGGCAAAAGAGGTTTCCGACCAACAGCGATGATATGTAACTCTGTTTTATCATCACTAACAACATAAAGCTACCTATGACCTTGTGTTCCTACCTGACTTTAGCTCAAGTTTCCTATTAAATGTGAATTAGAGGTCGACCAATAGTGGATTTTGCCGATACCGATAACTAGGTTAGACCACACTGGCCGATACCGATTAATTAACCGATAGTTTTAAAATTGATACTGAACAAAAACTAAAATAGTGCTTTATTAACAAAAACAGTACTGAACCATACTAGTAGTAGTAGTAGTAAAAATAAATAAAAAAATAATAGTAAATGTTGATATTAACGCACTCTAACAAGGAACAATACTTAGCAAAAAGCTTAGAAATAGCTTTCATTAATCTTAATGCTACAAATGGACTCTTATTTTAAAGTGTTACCATTTCAACTGTCATGCTTAAAGATGCACATCTTTAAATATATACACAAAGGCTATAGCATTATAATTATATACATATGGATATTGTATGTATACCCTCACACTTGAACTTCTTCTATTCTTGAACACTTGATGATTATCTAATCAAAATAAAAGCGCAGCGCTGAGTCTAGGAGAACTCATCGGTATCACACACACTCCGAACGCGTCGCGTTCAACTCGAGCAGTGGTCTAAAACAGTTTATTTAATCACCAAACAGACAAAAGTTTACTTCAAGAATGAACAATTTGGCATGGATGAGTTTGAAGTTCGGTGTTTAAAAAATGGAGCAAACGGAAAGAGAAAGCGCGACCTATATTATAGCTCTATAAATGAAGCACACAGACTTTATTAGAGCCACAGAAAGACAAACGTTTTGCTGAAAATGCACAATACACAATTCATTATGTACATTAACAACGATTCGGGACCAATATAATGTAATTTAAAGGAAAACTATGTGAATGGTGCTCTGTGGCGCGGCAGGAGTTTCTGTCGGCTGCATTTAAATCCGCATCTGAAGTTTTCCCTCTCTGTTCAGCGTGCAGTATCACGTGTCTAAATAAATAGCACGTGCTGTCAGTGATTTCAACCACTAGAGGCCGCTCTCGCACTGTATAATGACAGCAGACCCTTCTCAGCC